GTCAGGCTCACACATCTTTTAAGAGTGTTGCTATGAGATGTGCCATCAGACTGTGGTGAATGAAAGGAGGAGGGTTAAAAATACTTTTAATAAATTAACCATTTCTATTTGCATTTAATAGTAGTTTAGGAGGTCTTTCTTACTGATGTACTCCAGTGAGGTAATCTCAACGTTGTTGCAAAGGAGAAAGGCTACATATATTCAGAGAGCTTATAAAATCTGCCTGTGAGAAGGGTGTTGTTAGTTAAATTATTCTGGCATTGTACTGACAGCAAAATTTCAGGCTTGCTACTTCATTTAGTCTGCTGTGATCCAGATCTTACTGTCCCTCTGAGCTGCAGAAGCCTGCATGGATAGAAGCCAAGCTGCTTGGACATGGGCTGGCATCAGCATCCTGCCTGGGAAGAGTATTTTGCATTCTGTTTTCAGCAACTCTAACTTTGAATGAAAGGGTGAACTGTGGGAAGTTATTAATGATATCTGTAATCGTGGATTAATCACGTATATCTTTGCAGTCAAGTGCCTCTTGCTGCACTGAGTGCATTTAGACGAAAATGATAATGGTGAAGGGCTTTGATGTACAGTGTTGAGGTGATTGGAAGCAGCTCTTTAGCTTTCTGTCCAAGCTGGACTGTGCAAGGCAGCACTGTTTGAGCTGGCATGAACACTTATTCCAATTCTTCTCAAAATGGGAAGGAGGAGAGTAAAACCATGTTTCTTCCTAAAGAATGCCTTTGGGTTACTTGTAACAAACCGCGAGTCTATGAAGTAGTATAAAGATCTAAAAATGTAAGTCTTAAAAAACAGCGTTTGATGGTTTGCAGTACAGCTCAGAACAGATGTTCTGGCTTTTTCCAGAATAAAATCCGATTTCAGGAGGAATCCAGTGTTTGGGCTGATGCTTCTGGGGAAGATATTAATTCAGTCATTTAGTAAGACAAAGAGGAAATGATATGAATTTAGCTCTAATGTAATTTTTGGATCCTAGACTAGTCTTATTTTGATGTTCATCTGTATTCCTAGGCATTTATTTGTCTGCTTTTTAAGGGGCCTCAAGTCTACCTCTGCTTCCACAGCTGCAAATAATTGTGGGAGCCATTTGAAGGGTGAAAATGTCTCTTATATGTACAATCATATAAATGTCTGGTGTCTCACAGGAATTTTTATGTATAGATTCCATGTGTGTAGGGTGATTTCTGGTATGACAAATACCAAAGAGAAAATAAATGCAACTCCCAGAATGCCATATAAACACAAGCTTTTTTTTTGCATGAACTTCCTTCTCTGAAGCCTTATGAGCTCTGTTGCTGCAAATACTCTGGCATATGGAGAATCCTTCCCCCAGTGTTGTTAAGATCTACCTTGAATCTGCTCAAAATGCCAGTGACTGTCCATAGCAATCTTGGCACGTGTCTTGCGGGGAGTTTTGCTGGACAAAACTCTGTAGATGGAATAAAAAATGAAGAACACCAGAAATGGACATGTATCCTGGAGATGTTCCCCTTAAAAGTTACCTGCATTCCTCTAGCATGCAATTATTACATTGAGAACAAGCTCAGCCAGAACATCCAGTGAATCCAAATCTCTTTATCTCAGTTTTGTTGTAAGGTAACAGTGAAATGCAGAAATGGATTATGCTTGATGTGTGGATGACTGAAAGGAGTCTCTCCAGCAGCATATTCCTGCCAAGTGATTGTTTGGATTAAGGCTTGGAAAAATATAAAATACTTTGTGTACATTCACAAGACAGAATTGTGCAGAGACCATTCACAGAATGGCCTGGGTTGAAAAGGGCCGTATTAATCATCTGGTTCCAACCCCCTGCTATGTGCAGGGTCACCAACCATGAGACCAGGCTGCCCAGAGCCACATCCAGCCTGGCCTTGAATGCCTCCAGGGATGGGGCATCCACAGCCTCCTTGGGCAACCTGTTCCAGTGCTTCATCACCCTTTGTGTGAAAAACTTCCTCCTAATATCTAACCTGAACCTCCCCAGTTTTTCCAGTAATGCTGGAACATTACTAATGACATGTAATAGTACTGCACTTCATGTTCCACTGCGATGATCTGAGAGCAGCTCTATGTGTTGTGGCTTTTGCAGTGATGAATAGTAGGGACTCACTGAATAATCATGATGATTCTGTCATTCTATTAAACTTTGTTTTTGAACTTATGGGATTCTGTTACCAAGCTCAGCTGATGTACCGACGTGTTGTCTGAATATCAGAATGAAACTCAGTAGTTATTTACACTTCCAGCACGGTTCCTGTCTATTGTGTGCTGAACTCTTGGGGCCTCAGTCTCCCTTTGTGAAATCTACCTGTGTTTTCCTAAGTGTTTGCTTTGAAAGGGTGTGGGTAGAAATCACACTGTGCTGATTGTGTTGGTTGCGTATTGCAGGACTGGGATGGTGGCCTTCAGCCAGGCCAGCCCAGATTCGCAAAGGGTGGAAGAGGATTCAGTGAGCAGAAGCTGGGTCCCCTGCAGTGGTAGCTCTGTTTGGAAATCCTAGCTGAAATCACTTGCAGCTTAATCACATGTGGAAAGCGTCTTCAGCTCCCAAAGGAATTTCATTCATTCATGCTTGCTTCTGGTAGAGTTCATGTTACATTAGGAAACCACTATTTCTGACCTTGGAGCTGAATACATGTTTTTAAAAATAGACATGGGACAGAAGAAAGAATAGACTCCACTTTAAGTTTTTGCCAAAAGCAAATATACAAGTTGCAAAATATAACATCAAACTTTCTGAGAAACGATTGATTTTTCGAGGGCTCATGTTAGAAAACCAATATGTTGTTCATGACGAACAGTTGTGGGTGATTCTGCATTTTTCATCTTTGCCTAAGCAGATGGAAAACTTGTCTTAAAGAAGCAGCAGGTCATTTTCTGGCTGATTACACAGTTATACTGTATATAGAAGACTATACTTTTATGATTATACGGTGCTTTTATGGAGAGCTGTGCATGATAAATGCCTTCCAAGAGTCTGGCAGCCCTACCAGAGCAACAGAGCTGAGAGTATAGAAGAACAGAACTTAATACCCATCCTCTGACTGAAATAAACCTGTAGATACCAGAGTTGTTGAGAGGCCTGACGTGAATACCAAGGAAGTATGAATTGCTGCATTCCTATGTAGAATAAATAAAAGGGGAAAAAAACCTAGTTTACTTAGTCATTTGATAAAGAAGGTAAACTTCCACGCTTGTAAGTGATGTGCATCGAGAAATAGGCTCTGTTTGGGGTAGTTCCTTAAGTTTTGGCCTTTTTATAGGACGTGCAATTATACAGCACCATGGTCTTCCCAGCAGTGCGTGGCAGGAGGATAAGAAGCAGCAGGCAGAAACTGGAACACAGCTGCCATAAGGGAAAGTTCACCACAAAGTGAGCCTGGGAGCAGGTTGCCTGTAGAAGCTGTGCAGCCTTAGGGGACTTAGGACCTTGCAGGATAAAGCCTTGAGCAGCCTGGTTTGACCCATAGCTGATATGACCTTCAGCAGGAGGTTAGACTAGAACTGATTTTCTTCTCATCTGAATTTTCCAAGGGTTCTTTGTATGTGGTGTTTGTGGGGATAGGTGGTTGCTTGAGTAAAGCAAGAACGACTCTGAAGGGCTGACTGAAGTATTTTTATTGTATAGTCAACATCAGAAATGGGTTTGTGCCATCTGCTGCAATATGCTTACGTTGTTTTGAACCACTGGCACTGCTGACAGCTACTTTTTCTTTACTAGTTTCAGAGATCCCAGTGAGAACTAACACTCCCACAGAGATCAGAAATGCTACAGATGTCCTCACCATGAAAAACTAATGCCAGGGCCACCCTGAGAGCAGCTCACTCTGGTAAGCTGCTTCTCATGGGATTAGCTCTGTAGAAGCTAGATGTGTGAGATGTAGCACCAATAACAGCACGCAACCCCCATTGTGCTTTCAAGTACAGACACTGAAAGGGCTTTTCAGGGTATGTTAGACACATTCAAATCCAGCATGGCTTCCCTGCATCCAGTGACAAACGAGTGCTGTGGTTTCCCTTCTTCATCTGTAAGCCTGCTTGCAGCCCTGCTGCATGCTGGTAATGTTCTGTATGAAGGTATCTTACAGTGGAAACCTTTTCACTGTGCCAAGAGGTAAGCACTGGTTACAGTGGGATCTGAATTAAAACACAGATTCAGCTTCTAATGGAAGATACGTGGCAAACCCCAGTGGTTCACTGACTCATCTCAGAGCTCCATACTCTACAGCATGCAGCATTCAGCTGTTCTGTCAGTCAGGCTGATGGAGGTCTCTGTTTTTTACTTTTATGTCCCATTGATTCATCTCTGTAAAACCCACATGCTGTGAGGTTGTTTTTTCTTGTCCAATCAAGAGAGCAATGTTTGTTTCACCAAGCTGCAGCATGCTGGATTCTGTGTGCTGCTTTCTGGGACAGCAAGTGGAGACAGAACTGCTCTGAGTGTGTTTTGTTTCAGATGCTGAACTTTTTGTGGCCAAGGCTTTTAGTGGAATAGGAGGGATTTCTTCTCAGAAGTGTGGTGAGGCATTGGCACGGGCTGCCCAGGGAGGTGTCACTGTCCCTGGAGGTGTGCAAGGAAAGCCAGAGGGACATGGTTAGTGGCCATGGTAGGGATGGGCCAGCTGTTGGACTGTGTGTTCTTAGTAGTCTTTTCTAACCTTAATTATTCTACGATTCTATGACTTATTTCAGATCATTAGGGATTTTCACATGTTTGACTTGGAATATTTGTCCAGCTATTAGAATGAGAGGAATCTCTGTATCCCAGTGAAGGGATGAAGGGTTTTGAAATTGCCATCTATTTAAAAAAAAAACGGTACTGGTGTTTGTACTGAGCACATTAATTTACTAAGACAAAATCTATCCAGAAAAGCTTAAATGTTATTCATGTGTGTTATTAAAGTGTGCCTCTGCGTGTTTCAGTACATTTTCAAAAGACCTTTCAGTGTTGATTTACCATAGTCTTCCCCTCCCCCCTTGTTTTCCAGACACTGTGAGTAAGGACACCGAACCCAAAGATCCATTTCCCATTCCAAGAAAGATTATGGCTGAACCGGACTACATAGATGATGACAACCCTGAGTTAATTAGACCTCAGAAATTAATTAATCCTGTGAAGTCATCCCGGAATCATCAAGATCTCCATAGAGAGCTGCTTATGAATCAGAAAAGGTAAAAGTCTGACAATCACGTGTGCTGTTCCTCAACCCCAGACACACAGCTTGAGTTTCATCAAAATGATGTTTGTCCCCACACCCACTGGACATTCATTGATGGAAACCTCGTAGATGAAAAGACTGCAGTTCTTAACCATGGTGTTTATTTGTTTGAATTTGAGTTCAATTGGTCCAATCCTTCTTTCTGTGAGAATTTTATCTTCATTTCCAAATTTAATCGTTAGCTTTATTTTCAGGCAGCTTTGATACCCATTTTAGTATTGAATCATTATATTCATTACAAAGGCTTTGCCGTATTGCCTACTGTTTATGTGTTGTGTAATCAGTGGTGCTACCTATGCCAGCTGCAAATGGGATACTTAAAAACCTATGTATAACCAACAAAATCTAAAACAGTGCTGACATAATAGTTGTGTAAGAAAGCCATAGGCTGCTCTACTGTTTCATCTGAGTCTTAATCTAACTGAAGGTCGTCCATGTCTGTTTCAGTCAAAAACTACACTGAAGATGTCAAACACAAGATCAGTTGTTGATCATTCAGCATTCAGTTGATCAGCTCAGTAAAAGCTTATGTAAATCAGACTTGCCATGTGGTATTTGTGAATACTCACTAAAGGCTGTTTTCATGAGGAAGAGGTTCAGTTCTCCCACGTCACATTTCGTATTTGTTATCAGCACTCTATTTTGTCTTCAGCTCTCAACCTAAATGGATTTTGTCAGATAGTTGATAGTCACCAACAGTATCATCAAATCTGTGAATTTTCACCATTCCCAGCACTTCTAAGCTGAAGAAATTGTATATTTTATTTCAGAAGTTGTTCTGTGCTTACTTGATCTTTCTTACGTTGCAGTGATAGCCTGATGCCTGCTCTGCTGCTGCACAAGTGTTTCTTTGTGTATTTTGCAAATTCTGCTTCCTTCTTAGTTGGATGGGATTGAGCAGCTGTTGCTTTATATATTGCTTGTGAAGATGTAAAGAATTGGAACGTGATTTCATCAACTGTGCTGAGACAGAGGGGCTTGGCCCAGGGGTAGATGAGGGTCTGCTGTTAAATCTCTTCAACAACAAACAACTCTTTAAAAGAAAAAAAAACACTAAAAAATAGCTGCCTAACTGCACAGAGGAGAAAAAGCCTCCAAGCTTGTGGGACTCCACCATTTAAACAACTAACATCTAAACAATTTAAACAAACCACCATTTAAACAAACTAACATCTATATAGATTCCTGATTTGATGAAGATATCCAGTGTTACTTTGATGTCAAGAGTGTAACCTTGCATGGCTGTCCTAGCAGGAGTAAGTGAAGACGTGTTGTCTTCCTGCCTCCTCACAGATTAAGCAGAACTTGCAATTCAGGAATCTTATTTTATCCTTCAATAAGATACATAATTTTAGTCCTAATATTCCTTGTCCACTTGCAGCTGGAGTGATAGTAGATCCTTTAATCATCATTTTCACATCTCTTCCGATAACTCGAATGCTACGAGGGATTGCAGTGTGGATGCTACTACATCAGGAAGTGGTTTGGACTTGATTTGCTCCTTTGTCTTTTGCCCTCATTTATCAGCTGCCTGTGCAGTTCTTACTTAAGGCTGCAGTAACAGATGCACCTGAGTGTCTTCTCTACAGACTGTCTACAAAACAAGGAACCACTCAAGAGGCATATCCCACAGGCAGGGGTGTGGGGATCCCCAAAGCAGAAGTGAAAGAACTATTTCAGAGTACATTTGAGAATAAAAGTTGCTGTTAACACCCATTCAGGCTTTTTGAGACCCAGGACCTTAGTAAAGTAGAGGAAGAACTACTTCAATTCAGCTGGATTTGTGTATTTGGCAGAAGAGTTGCATTCTGAAAGTTTCTCCTTTTTTCCCTTTCTGGCAGAGGGGTGTTTTGAGGGGAGAAAAGGGCCTTTTCTATGTGTAACAGCAAAATCCTCACAAATGCTAGGCTTAGATACTTAATTCTAAATGAACTGCTTACACAATACAGCATTTCTTTAGGTAGGAAGAAGTAGAAATGTTTTACAGAATGCCAACTGAATTGGAAGAAACTGGCCTAAATAGGTGTTTGTCCTATTTTTTTTGTTAATGGGATTAAACATCAAAGTCAGTTCCCAGCACCACAGAGTTTAAAGGCATTGAAAGGAAGATAGTTGAAGTTTCTCAACTTATGATTTTATTGTAAAGGATGTGGAGACTGCACTAAATTAAGTCTACTTTTTTTCCTTTTTAAGTTTATGAAAGCATAAAGCACTTGAAACCAGTATGAAGCTCTTTTCTTTCTGAAGAATATCCTATTACACAAAACAGTTGTGCTGCCCTCAATACCCCTTCTTCTCTTATTATGATTTTGATTAGTTGCAGCTGTTAATTTTAGAGCCTTATTTATTGGTGCAGAAATGAAATACTTTGAGGGTTTCAGCAGCAGAAAATCTTCTTTGAAAAGATGTTTAGGACTCCGTGCTTTATTCTGTGGTACTACCTCTGATATGAGGCTTTTCCTTGATGTAGGTATTAGGTTTGTGTTATCACACACACAGAATCACAGAATGGCCTGGGTTGAAAAGGACCACAATGATCATCCAGTTCCAACCCCCTGCTGTGTGCAGGGTCACCAACCACCAGCCCAGGCTGCCCAGAGCCACATCCAGCCTGGCCTTGAATGCCTGCAGGGATGGGGCATCCACAGCCTCCTTGGGCAACCTGTTCCAGTGCTTCACCACCATCTGTGTGAAAAACTTCCTCCTCCTCTGACATAGATAAATAAGGGGTATGCTTTGCTATTGCAAATTGCCACGTATGTGGAGGAATTTCAGTGCTCTGATAGAAGTGGTTAAGCACAATTTGTTTGCTCTGCGCTAAAACTTTTAAGACTTTAATCATGCAGAGGTGATACAAGGCACTTACTTAATCCAGTAGCAGCCTGCTTGTTGCTTTCCCTCTCTAAATGCAGGAGTGAGAACAGGATTGACCTTACAGGTGTTGTTTCACAGCCTGACTGCTGATCCCTTTTGATGAGATGGAGAGGTCTTCTGCAGGTGTTAGTTGTGCTGTAGTTAGGATCAATTGGACACCCAAATCAGCGATGTGTAACGTTACTTAGCAGCTTGCATCTGATTGATGGCTACCTTCACTGCTCATCAGTGTAGAAGTTCCCATTGATTCAGCTCTCACTGACCCAGCTGTAGTAGAAGTCGTTAATAGTAGTAGCAGTAATCATTATAATAAAATATTACTTCAGCTTTTCTCTGCCTGACTTAATTTTTAACTGCTGAAATGTAATTAAAATAGCATGAAACATAAAATATTAATACAGTCTTGCAGCTTGTTGCATTCAGGCCATGAGATGCATTATGAGAAATATGGAGCAGCATGTGGTGTTGCTAAATATTTGATTTTGCTGCCAGGGTATGTACACTGATAGAATGTTGCATAATATATGGAGTTGCTCATAGATGCCACTGTAAAATGGCTTTTTAATATATTTTTAGACATGCTATCAGATACACATGGAAGAATTAGGCGAGCACAGATATTACACTGAGAAGTGGTAAAAATATGCTTTTTTTGAAAGCTTCCTCAGATTACTGAATTTCTTGAGATTGAAGTTAAAAATGGCTGATGTTGAACTCGATGTGCTCATACAACAGTCATCCCATTGAAAACTACAATAACAAAGGCATATTTTGGATCTTTCTGCTCCAACTAATAATGGAATGATGAGGGTATTCCAATTAGGATCCTAGAATATCTCGAATTGGAAGGCACTCACAAGGATCATCGAGTCCAACTGCAAAGAGTAAGCTTTGCCATTTTAGAGCTGTGGGCTCAGAAAACATTTGGTACTAACTAAAATCTCATCAGATCATCCTTCCCCCTTTGTCCGATCTCCAAGGTGACTGCAACCTTTTTTTATGTGGGGCTGTTGTTGTTTTAGCCCCTTTCTGTGTGATTTTCAGCATAGCCTGGGAGCTCTCACTGTTCTCAATGGAAGTAGTGCAGCAGCCAGGCATGGCTAAAGCTGTCATATTGTCAAGGAAGGACTGCATTAATGATTTCCAGAAGCAATGTGACAAAATCCAGAGGGACAATATGTTTTTGTTCTGTCCATGCAGCTGGACATGCTACCCAGTGCAGGACTGTCAGAATGCAGTCCCTCTGAATTATCAGCCAGCTTTGTTTGTTTGTTTGTTTTCCAAAATTAGTTTTCAGCTCTGATTTGTGATGTTTTTAAAATTGGTTCTTCTGGAGCAGAGAAAAAGAGAGGGAAGGCTCAAGATGAGAGCCCTAACAGGGAATTATTCAGGAGAAACATTAGCATGTGTGTTAAAGGGAAACATTCTCAGTGATAATATGGCTTCATTTCCAACTTATTGTTGGAGACCAACACATCTTCTGCCTATTTTTTGCTTTTAATTAAATATTTGTCTTTCAAAGTACCTAAATGGGCAGCCAGTTGACTTGAGAAAACCTGCCTACAGGTTTTGTCAGCTTATTAAAAAATGATCTTTCTTCCTTGTTTCCTTCTCCCTTCTACTCCCATTTAATTTGAAGGGGTCTTGCACCTCAGAACAAACCAGAGTTACAAAAGGTGATGGAGAAAAGAAAAAGGGATCAAGTTATTAAACAGCAAAAAGAAGAGGAGGCACAGAAGAAGAAGTCAGACCTGGAAATAGAGCTACTGAAACGGCAGCAGAAACTGGAGCAGGTAAGATGGGAGATAACACTGACTTCACACATCAATCTCTGAGCTAGTCACCTGGTGCTCTCTTTCTAAGAAGCAGCAGATGATTTTTGCACAGTTCCTCTGACAAAATGCAAATGAATTTTTCTCAATTAGTCAGTTCACACGCTACCACTGCCTCGTTTGTATGAGGAGATGATCCACCAAAATAGATGGTAGACTGTAGTGCACTAAAACTAGATACTTGGTGAATAAAAACCTCAGTTTTTTCTTTCTTCTGGGCTTTGTACTAAACGAGGTGACTTTGTAAGGCTACAGAGGGTTTTTTTAATGAATGAATTGGCTTTTTCAGATGAAGGAAAGCATTCTCATACCCTAAAACAAAGAATTATATGGAGGTGCAGTCTTTTGCTGGGAAACTTAACTGCAAAGCAGAGGGACAGCCAAATGTCTTTGGGCCTCGTAAGGCACTCTGTGTACCTGATAGGCAGAATTTCTTCAATTAAATACCTTGTGTATTTACTTCTAAAAAAATGAATGCTCTAAAACAGAAATCAATTAAATTTCTCAACAGAAATCAATTAAATCGAATAACTCTCTTGAAAATGAGGTGTAGTCACATCAATTATTATGTTTGGCCCTTTTTTTTCTATTACAGTTTTTCTTAATCAGGCATAGAAATATTTTTGGAGGGAGAAAACCATTGTAATTTTAAATATATCATCCTGTCACTTTTGCCTTAAGCCCTCAGAGAGATAAGGTCAGCTTTCAAATGGCTCAGTCTGTGGGAAGATGCCTGATTTGGAATTCAGCCACCCAAGGACACAGGTAGAATAGAAAATTCTCTTAGGAGAGGAAAAGCCTGCTCACTGCAAGTAATGCTGTGACTTTGGAAGCATCATGGGGATGTCATTAATTGACAGTATGACACATGGAGGAATGTTGTTGTGATTTACTGTAACAGGGCATGTTCCTCCTCAGCGAACCAGAGACAAAGGAGGCATTACTGAGGTGAGCTAAATAAGACCAGCAACGTGGTCCCCATTAATCAGAGAGACCATGGTGTGTTCTAAGACAAAGATCCTTTCAGGAGCTTTTGTTAGTTTTCTAAAGGGTTGTTTCCTTCTTTCTGGTGACATGACCTGTGTGCCTTCACTGTGGATTGCTAAGCAGTCTTTATTCTGTGCAGTGTGTAAGTAAGCTGCTGCATTAGCACATAGTGCAGGTTTTTGTAGCCTGCTGGAATGATCTACAGCCAAAGGTTTGAAAAGGCTGATAGTTTGTGAGAACAGATAGTCCCAAAAAAATTCAGCTTTATTTTTTCTAGGAGAGAAAGAAAAGAAGCAGTTTAAATTGTTTTGCATGACCAGTTATTGAAACTGTTACATTTTTGTCCTTTCTTTTGATTTTCTCTTTTATATGCTTATATTTAACACATGAATCTCCTTTAAGCTGGAGCTGGAGCAACAGAAGATACAAGAAGAGCAGGAAAATGCACCTGAATTTGTCAAAGTCAAGGGTAACTTGAGGAGGACGGTCCAGGAAGCTGCGGAAGCACCAGACTCATAGAGGCAGCGCCCACTAAGACTTCCAGCTTTCCTGCTCTGGCTGCAGAGAGACTTTTGCAAGTTGTCTCACATTTGCCCCATCAAGAGGGAAAAGAACAGCATTCACCTGACACTTACTGAAGATGAGATTTTTATTTCCTAGGACGAGTGGATGATAGACTGTAACAGATCGACTTGCCAAATGCAGTTGTGGGACTGATGCGTGGCATCGGGAGTCTGTCAGTTCAGTGTCATGGACCAGTGCTTATGGAAGTGCTTACTCAGAGATTCTAACCAGGGATAGTGGGGAAGCTTCTTCAGTGTTGCACTGCTTTTTCTCTCTTGTGATTCTAGTTTAGCGGAGGTACACAGATGATATTTTGCTTTAAATCAAAACAAACTCCTCCTGTGATATCTTATGCAACTTTACTGTGCAGATAAGTTTTCTCCATCTAGACCTAAAGCCTGTGTATGTCTCACAATTTATTGGTGTTCAGTTGGAATTTGTATCAAATCTGGGATGACAAGAGGTGTGTTGGTCATCGATGCCCATCCCCACAGGGACAGGCACTTGCAGGCAGAATGGGAATGCTTAAAATTCACCAGCAGTGAACAGGTGAGCAGCCTTAAAGCCCAATTCTCCCTGTTTTGCATGTAGAATCTGGGCTATGAAAGAGCAGAAATTCGATGATCCTTTCACTAGAGAATCAAGAAGCTGATTTATCTCTTTCTTTAAACTTAAAATGTTATGTACAGTGCTACCTGTGTATTTACGTCTCTTACCTCTCAATGCAAAATGACCTGTCTTCTAACCTTTGTATTTTTAAATCCTACCTACTTTACTGCTGTGGCCTTTCTCCTCCTAGAACATGCTGGTCTGAGTGCAGTGTTGGCACATGACTCATTTGCTGGAACTGAAATCAGGAGTCTTTTCTGCCATCAATTCCTGCTCAGCTGTTGAAGGAATTTTCTGTAGCTCCTGCAACAGAGCAGTGTTTAAACCAGACCAAACTGATGGTTGGGATTTACCAAAATGGAGAATTCTTCCCTGAAGTGAGGCATAAAATGACATTCATTTTATCCCGTCCTTCCTCTAACTTCAACAGAGGGGAAATGTTTTACCACCGACTCTTCAGGTCCAATTCTGTCACGTTCTGCCTTTCTGCGAGTTATTCCATGACTTGCCATTAAATAAAATACTGTTCAGTTTTATAGGGATGGCAGAATCTGGTCCTTCATGCTTATGACTACTAGTTATCCAGGAAAGCCTGGGATGAGGAGGGGGGGAACAGATTACTCATGTAGGATTATAGAGTTGGATTCTTACCTGGTGCGAGTAGATGCTTTGTCTTCAGAAAGTGGGGAGAATTCCTCATCTTCCTTGCTTAGCATGTTCCTAGCTTTCACTAAGGCTGTACTCATCCATATCAGCTGAGGATCTAATCATAGTCTTTGCCTTAGGATGTTAAATGAAATGATTTTGACTTTGTATTTACAAAGGACGTAACTGTCCAAGAACACTTTTTACTAATATCAACAGTGGCATGTTTGTATTGTGGGGGAGGGTCTGTTGGTTTGATTTTTTAGTTTCTTTTGCCTTTCCTGTAAGTATCAGACGTTTTGAACACAATTTCAGCATAGCACGTGGCACAAAACGCTCACAATTAGCAGTGTTTCTTAGAGACAGACTTCAGTTTCTCAAGATCCAGGCATTTATTATGAGGACATAATCATATCAGGAGTAAATTGAATTGTGATAAGTGTATTGCCATTGATTTAGATTTGCAGTGTGACTCATATCTAGATGATTAAATGTGAAGATGGTCTGCCAGACCATTCTGATTATGGAGTTACAAAGAACAAAGGCCAAATATAACTCTTTGTATTTTCTCAGAAGAGGAACACTCAGTGCTGCAGATTCTCCCTCACTCTTCCCCTATAAGAAGAGGACCTACAGTTCTGGCACTTGCACTGCTTGGATTTGTTCCATATTGTTGATTGTTGGGACAGTGTTACATACCAGAGTTCCATGCCACACATTTAACCTTACCATTCTCCAGCCTACCCAGCTTTGTCTGTTGGATTCCACTCTACAATTAACCTGCTGTTCAGTGTGGAAATGTCTGGGAATCAGTGAGGAAACCCTCCTCTGGCTTCAGCAGGCTATTTCTTTGCAGCCCTTTGTCTTCAGTGAATGTGGCAATCCTACTGTGCAGGCACAGCAAAATGAGTGGAGTTGGGTGCAATCCAAATGGCACAGGAGTCAGTGGAGACAACAGTTTCTCCTTGACTTCTGTAAGCGTTGGATTGGGCCTTCCAAAGCAGAAAGCGTGTTGCTTCCTCTCCATATCAGCTTGTGATTCAGGGTAGTTTCATGTTACGAAACACAGGTGGCCAGAAAACCCCCTTGTACATACAGTGTGAAGTAGATTTGTTTTTGTTTTCACTTCAGTGTGTTCATTAGAGCATCTTTGAATCCTGCTGACCTTTTAGTCTAGGAACCCAAATCACTCTCCTATTGATTTGACAAGCAAAAGCCTGTCTTTAATGTCAGGATTGGGCTGGGATGAGTAGCTCTTTGTGGTAGTCAGCTATCAGAGCATGAGTGTCCTGGGCGGCTGCTTGCCAATGGAGGTGAGCTCTTCCTGATCTGTCCTTCAGCTGCAGGGGATCTGAAGCAATCCTGCAAATACTTCAGTGATTTGAAAATGGCTTGCTTACTTTGACCACTTCTGCCTCTAATAAGGCAGTATTTTTAAAAAATTCTTGCTTTTGATAGTATAATAGTAAATTTTTTAGATTTTTTGTGGCTTTAACCTTCTGTTAATATCTGCACTTGTTTGAGTGTACATATATAAATATATATAAATATAAAAAAGGGAGCCTTAAAGGATTTGTTTTCATAATTTAATATTTTTTGTATTTGCTCTTGTATAATTGTTTTTAACTAAAGGTATTACAAAAATGAGGAATACTTAGAACCAAAGTCATGCTTAATAAAATCTTCTACATGCTTGGAGTATGCAGCAGTGTCTGTCACGTCCTGTTGGAATCAAAACTGTGAAGCATCAAGATTGTGGTGACTTCTAGGTTCTTAAAACTCCATCTGTGTTTGTATACGCAAAACAACTGACAAAGTAATTTGCAGGAGCAAGGTAAGTTGTGTCTCTTAGTCCTGTTATCTCCTCATATCTTTAAAAAGGGCTTTTCAGCCACTGCAAAGTGAGGCAATGAGGGAAAACTCCTGATGGGAACCAAACAATTTTGGCAGTCATTCCTTCTTCTAAGTTTATCAAAGCAGAATTCAGCCTTGGAACCACAAGCATTATCACCGCTCCATTGAAAGAGGCAGTGAGGAAGCAGTAACGAGTCTGCTCCTGGGTTCAGTCCTGCAAAGGGGCTTTTAATTTAGCTACCACTCAACCCTGGACAGGTGAAAGAAAGTGTGTGCGTAAATGATTTGCTGGTTTAGAGTCAGATTGTTCTGTGCCTTGGAAAGAAAAATCTTAGTTAAGAGAAGGAGGAAAAGCTGGCAGGGCATTGGAGACACGGTTGGAACAGGTGGGAGTGATCAGTTCACCCCCAAGAACCTCAGCTCATCCTGGAGAGCCCCAACTAGCAGGAGACAGGTGTTGGTGGATGGGGAGACAGAGCAGAGTGCAGTGAAATGAAGTGGGGGAGGAGGACCAGAGTGGTGAATTCAGAACAGATGTCAGGAAATGCTTTTTCCTTCAGAAACTGCTCAGCATGTGGAATGGATCCTGGCAGTAATGCTGATGCAATGGTGCTGGGCCTGCTCCAGGAGCTGTCAAATGTGGGGGAGGTAAGAAAGAATAGAGTTAATAGAGAATAGGTTTCTGTGGTCTGGTGGAGATATTGCCTCGTGCTCTCCTACCTCAAGCATATCCAAATGTGTTTTGAATTATCCTTTGATATTTCACTCCAGCTCCAGAATGAAAACAAAGTGGAGGTCATTTGATATTTCTTTTGCAGCAAGTCCAGTGGAAAAGCTGATCTTCCTTTTGCATGCCTTTTTGGATTGCACTGAGCTAATACATTTTGTCGTGTGGCTTTGCAAGCATGGGTCTGCTCTACAGGGATCTTCACAGCGGGGCTCTGCTTGTGCTCCTGTGGCCATGTGCAACTTGGCTACGCTGTGCCATAGCTGTATGGAGAGAAGCGCTCTTAAATCTTCTTGGTGGCAGATGCAGGAGCCATAGATGTCATTCACACCTTACAGTGGCTGATGGCAAACACGGTGACCAGAGGTGCTAAAGAAGTGAGCAAAGTGGCTGGAGATGAACCAGCTTCAAGTGGTGCCGTTTCTGTATTATCACAACTGATGTCTTTAGGGTGGTGAAGGGGAGGGTGAGTTGCATTCACAACACTAAGCAATGGGAAAAGCACCAGCAGTTAGTGAGATCTGAAGAAGTGGAACACCAGATATTTTTTCACTCCACCACACCAGTTTAAACTGCTTGTGTTATGCTGTGATCTGACAGAATGAAGATTGTCCGTGCCCTCTTAAACACTGATGATGGTTCTCTATGGTAAAAGCCATGGTAAAAGAGCACTGATATCCATGGTCCATCCTCTGGCATTGCTATAACATAAAATTGGAGCCAGGCCATCACTTGCTGCCTACATTGCCCCTCTGAGGCAAGACAGGGATTTCTGTTCCACTGACTGGTTACCCAGGGGCTCGGTGTTGCCTCACATGGGCACGTTGGAGCTAATTGCCTGGATTTCACTTGTATCAGTGCAGAGAAAGCAGCCCTCTGCAGTTCAGCTCCACTTTGACTCTAAGGGTGCCTGCAACACCTGACCTGGAGGGAACATCTTCACTGCAAGGACTCTGAAGCCACGTTTGAATGCTGCCTCTAAACATCCATTCATTCTCATAGAATTTTGTTCCCTTGTAATGATGAGGTACTGTGGCTTCTGAAAAGGGCTGGGAACAAGCAACATGCCCTGGGTCAAGCAGTGAGGGGAGGTGGCACCTGTGGTTGTGGCAAGGGAGATCGAACACCTGAGAGGGGATCCAGGAACCACAATCTCCCTCTAGAGCTGTAGCACTTAATTATCCAAGCAATCGTTCTCAGAATTAGCTTCTATTATGTACCCAAGCCTGAGATCAGGCGGATGGCATGAGCAATTTAACACAGATTGAGGCTGGCACCAGGAAACTTCAGTCTGATTAGATGGGAAGAAGTATACTTATTTCCCCCTCTTCAGCTGTTCTGAAAGCAGTCTTTCGTAATGCAATTGAAATGCCAAGTCTACTTCATTGTGCTTGAAAACTAAAAACCAGGCAGCGAGGTTCAACCCCTTATGAAGGTTCACTGGGATCGTGTGCCACTCGGTATGAAGGGGCAGAGGACACTGCCTGCAGAGCAGTCCCTGTGCACCAGTGGAACTGCACCTGCTCTGGATTTGGAGCACAGCAGCCTGGTGCATCCCACGCCATCTCCTTCCCTAAGGGGATTTATCAGGTGTTAAAGGGGGCTTTTCGTGTTACAGCCAGCAGGATATCTGCCTTTAAGAGGTGAATTGTCTTCTGAACGGTGCCGGCATAGGCTGAGCCAGGATTCTGCTCCGAAAAGTGGACACGTTTATTGCAGTGGTACTTATGCTTCAAGACTGATGGTTAATTATAGAAATCAATTTCTTCTACGAGGAATTAACTCATCGAATGCCAGAGAGTAATTTCTCTTCAAAATGCGGATCTTGATTTTTTTTTTTGTCATTTTCTTGGTCCCAGACAGTTCCTTCTGAGTTGCACCCTAAACACTCAAAATATTAATCAGGAAATCATAGAATCATTAAGGTTGGAAAAGACCACTAAGATCATCCAGTCCAACCATCAGCCCACCCCCCATGCCCACTAACCACGGCCCTCAGTGCCACATCTGCCTTTTGTTGAACACCAGCGATGGTGATTCCACCCCTTCCCTGCGCAGCCTGTGCCAATGCCTCACTGCTCTGAGAAGAAATTCTTCCTCATATCCAACCTGAAGCTCCCTTGACACAACTTGAGGCCATTCCCTCTTATCCTGTCGCTGTTACCTGGGAGCAGAGGCCAACCCCACCTCAGCACAACCTCCTTCAGGCAGTTGTAGAGAGCGATAAGGTCTCCCTTGAGCTCCTCTTCTCCAGATGAACAACCCCAGCTCCCTGTAAGACTTGTGCCAAGGCTGAACAGCAAGTCCATCCCAAAAGCTGAGCCCTGTGCAAAGCATAAAATGTTCCTGTGTTCAAACCTATTGTACCGTACCTTTTCTTTTTTATTTTCTGCCCTCTTTTCCTCCTTGAAACCTCACTGTGCTTTAATTCCCTTCCCATTGCCCCCTTTCACCCCCGGCTCCTTCTGCCTGTTCAGGCCTCCCTGCCCCTGGATTGTTTCCCAGGCCCGGTTTGTAACGAAAGGTGTTTCATTCATTAGGAGTCCTTGGGATGGATCCTAAAATGAGTGTGTGAGGCTGAGAACCGCAGCGCTGCTCAGAGCGAGGGGAACTCAGCCCGTATCCTCGGTTTGTGGGAGCACGGGGAACGAAAACGGGGAACACTGGGGGATAACTTGCAGACAGAACCGAGAGCAGCAGAGCTGAGCAGCGCTGCGCCGGGGCTGTGTGAGGCTCCGGGCTGCTCCCGCTGCTGCCATCTCCTGGGCGCAGGGAGCGGAGCGGTGTTGGGCGGTCCGGAGGGTTTCCCTTCTTCTTCCTCGAAAGCTTTCCCACTAAAACGCAGCCTTGCCGAGCTCTGGGGGCTTGTTGTACCAAAACCTGGTGCTTTCTTGGGGAAACACAGGATTAATTAGCGATTTTGCGATGCAAATTACATTACGGTCCCTCTGCGCTGAGACATTGTGCAAAAAAAGCCTTGAATGTGTGAAGATTTCAGTGATTCAGGAGATGGATTTACAAACGCTTTATGGGGCTGCAGTCCCCACGGATGTGCTCACTGTGGGCCATAGGGATGCTTTGCCAATGGCATGAGGGTGTCTGCGAGCTGTTGTTGCAGTGGTGGATCCCTGCAGAGACCCAAAGTGTTGTCAGAAGGCATGAAAGCCCCCAAGTGTGCTGGGGCACATCTTCAGGGCTCATCCTCACCCCAGGTCCTGATATCAGCCCATGGAGACACCTCCAGCCATCAGCAGCGGTGCTGGTCTTGTTGGAGAGCACTGCTACGTCCTTCTTGGCCCGGCAGCCCTTTCCTCTTGGGTTGGGCAGGGTACAGACCTCACCAGAGCATTGGAAACATTCAGGGTCAGGCTGGGCAGAGATCTGAGCACATGATCCAGTTGTAGGTATCCCTGTTCACTGCAGGGGAATTGGGCTAGATGACCTTTTAGGGTCCCTTCTAATTCAAACTATTCTATAATTCTATGATTGCTTTGTTTCACAAAGGAGCTCAATGGGACACCATTAAGATCCCAAGCTCCCACTCATCCCTCTTCAGTTTCCGTCTTGATCTACAACCCTTTTCTCCCTCTTTTTGCCCTTCTGAATCCTTCCTTTTCTTCCTAAAGTTTTCCCCTTCCCCATCCCCGCTCTCCATTCTCTCACTGCCAGCAGCATCCTCCCGTTGCCATAACGACAAGCAGCAGCCTGGCCAAATCAGCCAGACCCTGCCACGCTTCCCTGCCTGCATCAAACCACCTCCTGACGTGTGAACACTCTCACTTCCTCCTCCAGCCTTTACCATCTGTCTGCAGCAGGGAATGCTCCATTTGGGGGCTGCTGGCCCTCTGCACAGCCGTGTGTCCTTCCACCTCGTACACAGACATGCCTGTGCCACTCAATGGCATTTGTAAGAGCGTGCATGTAGGCCACGGCCAGCCCTTCTTGTGTGTTGGGGTTAAGACCTGCAGGTGACATTTGGGGTTTTCCTGTGCAGGAAATAGATCTGCTGATGCTTGAGGAAAGCCCATGAAATCCAAAATGAACACCTGAAAATAGGAGAATTGCTTAAAATATAGTAAAATAGATGTGTCCTGAGCTCCATCCTGACATGCCCAAA